AAGAGAGCTGGAATTTTGTCTGTTTTGTTCACCACTGCATCTCCTGTGCTTAGAATAGTGCCTGGCACACGGTTGGTCCCTAATAATAGTAGCTGAATAAAGAACTGAATTAATGAATTCAAACTCTCAGGAGTTGGAGGCTTAATTAATAGGAAGAGAAATAGTTTTGAAGACTGTTTATGATTAAAGTTTGGGAGGCTGGATGAACAGAAAAATAACAACAATAAAATAATAAGAATTCACCAATAAAACAGCAATAACTAATGCTTATTGAGCATTCAAGTGTGCCAGGCATGGAGCTAGATGTTTCAAAAACAATGTCTCATTTTTTCTTCACAACTATTCAATGATAATAGTAATAATAATGGACATTTATTGAGGGTTCACCATAGGTAAGTATTATGTTAATTGCTTTATAGTAATAGTAATAATAATGATAATGATAACAGTAATAATAATGGACATTGATAATAGTAATAATAATGGACATTTATTGAGGGTTCACCATAGGTAAGTATTATGTTAATTGCTTTACACACATTATCTTGTTTAATCCTCCCACAACCCCTAGGTACCTACCTCAAAGGGTGGTCCTGAAGATTAAATGAGATAGTACAGGTAAAGTCCAAGATAGAGCCTGCATATAATAATCATTTGATATATCTTATCTGTCAGCAGCACCACCATCACCCTCATCTCAACCTCAACCTTCACCTACTCATCTTTATTATTATCCTCATTTTATAGGAGAGAAGTCTGAAGCCCAGACATTCAGTAACTTGGACATCTGGGAAGAGAATCAGTGGTGGGGGAGGGGGTGTTGAAATCTGGGCTGTCTGCTGTCAGAATCTGATTCCTCTTGTGATTTTTATAACACTTATTACAAAAGGCTTCCAATGCGGTGATATAGTTTAAGCGCCACCCCCTTGCATCCCACTCTAAGATAATTTGACCTATAGAGTTCAGTAGGATCATTATCAGATTTTATAAAATCAGATCTCAAAATCAAATAAGATTTCAGGAATTTCATGTGTGAGTCAGGGCATCTCAGCCCCGACCCATAAACAAAGGGCCCATTGGAAACACTCTGCATCTATTCCACACACCAGAATAGTTTCAACAACTATGAAGTCTTTCCTAGAACTTCAGAACTAAGTCAGAATATGTTCAAAAGGACACCCATTTACTCATAAAATGCCTTTTAAGAATTTTACCATTCTCTCGCTGATAGGCGTAGACTCTCCCAGCCTGGAGATGGATGTGACTGACATTGACTTATTTGGAAATGCAGCCATTTGAAATTTCCAGTCAGATGCAGATCAGTTTTGTTAGTTGAGGCTTGAAGTTTGAATCAAAATTCATCTACACATTAGCACATTTTCATATGCCCCACTGATAACGGGGAGAAAAGAAAGCTCTTGAGGTAATCTAGTGCTGAGCAAATGGCAGTCACTGTCACTGCGTTATGCTTCTGTTCTCACAATTATTATTTTTAAAAATGTATTGAAATTTCTCTCCTTGATGCCATAAATATCGACAATAAAACATTCATTAAAATTAAAATATTTCTAACATGAGACCAATGAAATCAGGATGTTTAACCATGATCTTTGTTTTGTTTTTAAGTTTTTAAAAATTTTTCATGTGTGTGTGTGTGTGTGTGTAAGGATCACCGGTCTGACAGACCTGCATCAAAGTCCTAAAGCAAGAGAGCTGCCAGGATCTTTACATATAAAATTAAGTTAATTCTACAAAGACCCTGTGAAATAGATACTACCCTTTTTTTTGCAGCGTGGAGGCTTAGAGAAGCAAAATATTCCATAAACTAAGAATTGGCTGGCCAGATATCCACAACACCTACTTCTACTCTAGTGTATGTTCTCTATTGTAAAGGCGGGAAAATGGGACAGTCTTTCCCAGACTCCCTTGCAGCTAACGTTGTAGATATGATTTAAGCTCTGTGGGACAGATGCCCTTTTAAGACTGTTGTCTCTGCTGGCAAGCAGGGCTGTGGAATTATGCTGTGGCAGCGTCTTGGTTTCCAGTTGCTAGCTTCAAGGGCACTGAAAGGCAAGACACAGGGCATTCATAACGTGTATATTAGATTTAGCTGACAAGCCATCGCTCTGGAGCCAGTAATTATGGTGCAGGCAGCTTTCCGATCTCTAGATGGCAGCCAAGGTGGTGCCTTTCTGGAGCCAACAGCTCTGTGTTAGCTTCCTGTTTCCCCATCTTCCTGACCGCAGCAATTCCCTGGCAGGCCAGTTCTACAGGGTGACCCTGAGCATCCTCTTGGAGACTCAGCATAGAACCTGCTCCTCTGCTCTTCCAACTTCTCCTGTATTAATTCCTTACTGCTTGAAATTTTGCTTTCTGTTGTATTTTGCTGAACTCTGACCGATATATTAAGTAACATCCTTACTCAGCCACGAATGAGTCTAGATTCAACGCATGCCTGTGAAACCCAAAAGTCCACACCCTTCCTTTGATGGAAAGCTACTGAGTAAGATTGATTTTTTATCTGGTTATAAGCACAGATACCCAAGGGGTGTGGGGGACCGAGCTGGCCAAGCTGTTAGGCCTGCCTGGCACGGGGTACTGGTTCTTTCCCTTGTACTCTACTCTGTGCTGTGAACCTCCTCCCTATTCACTAAGCTAGGATAATTTTCATTTGTTTCCTCAAGAGAACATATACAAAGCACAAAGGAGTTCATTGTTGGCTTTTTAGTCACCAAAGCCTAAGCCTCAAGATCCCAGACACTAAATTTCACCAAGTTGGGAGACAAATAAAGAGAAAATGAAAAGAGCCAAGACATGTTAAGTGCATGAGAAGGCCCTGAGCTCTGTCCCTCCCACCTTCATGCCCAGACTGCACCCTGGGATGTGTGTATTGAAAGATTATAGAAACTCCATGTCATTCGGGAATCCTAGAACAGAAAAATTCTTGTGCCCTTTCCTGGAGACAGCCTGGAGAGGCACCTGGGGTTGCCTGTCCTTAGGGCGGCATAGGAGCAGACAAAATGGTCTCTCTGGGCAGTCAGGCATGCCAGCACCACACTGGCAGAACATCAGGAACCCACCCACCTGAGCTGCAGGACAGGAGGTAGGCCAGACAGGAAGGAGAGGTGTGCTCAAGACCCCAAAATGGAGCCTCGGAGACCGTTCCCACTGGTGACTGAAGACCAGCTAGAATAGCACCCAACAGACCCTGCACTGTGTTAACAGCAGTGAAAACCAGAGTCCCACCCACAGTGCCCAATCCCTCCACGACGCTGCATAATCATGGAATTTAGAAAAAACCCCAGAGAAAGGTGGGGTTTTTTTGGGGGGAGGGTGAGTAGAATAATCCTGAATTGAATGAAATATAGTTTCCATGAATTCAATCCAGCTATACAATTCAATCCAGCTATACAAAATGAGTTTACATGTCTCATATCCATGCCCTGAGTGTTGTACTCTCTCGCTACCCAGCTTCCAGTTAGTTCTCACACACCCTCCAGAGTCACTGGTCTACAGCAGGGTCAGCAAACTACAGCTAGGCCTATGGGCCAAATTCAGCTTACTGCCTGTTTTTGTTGTTGGTGGTGGTGGTGGTGTTGTTTTTAATTTCCTTTTATAGGTTAAATAAGTCCACGCTATGCCCCTTCTTTATGTGGGTGTGTTTGCAGAATTGATTAATCACAACAGAAACCGCTGTGGTGCAAAGCCTAAAATATTTACTCTCTCTTTGCAGAAAAAAACATTGCCAACCCCTGATGTAGAACACAGGCTCTTCCTGGCTCCATCTCATCTTCTCCCTGCACTCTGGTCCTTTTACTCCCAACATGGGAGCAAAGTCTCAAATCAGAATCAGTGAAAAAGCTCTGCTTTTCTCTGTTCTTAAAAATTATACCTGCATCCAGATCGAGCTTTTTCTTCCTGAATTCCCCCAAGGATGGGTTCTCTCTTGAGCACTTTTCTGTCCCCTTGTGTCCTATAACCCCACACTTTCCTGGTCCCCACCCCATCTCTGGCTTCCTTCTATAAACTTTAGGGGAGATTCTTCCCCTGCCTGCTTTTAAAGTCAGTGTTTTTTGGGGTTGTCCTAGGCATACTGGTTTCACTCCAGTCACCCTGGATGCCCCAGATTCTTCTTGGGAGACCAAGTTTCACCAAGTGTTCACCTGTAAGGAGGTGAGCCGACCCAGATTACTGACTTCAGGGGTTTATTCCCTTGGCCCAGACAATACCAATACTTTGTCCATTGATTTAGTCAATATTAGCCTTGAGCAAATAGCTCAGAGTAGAATGATCACTCAGTAGGCAAGGATTAAAAGACAGGGTAGCCTAGTGGCCAATAGCAGAAGTTCTGAAATTAGATTTATAAGCTATAGATTTGAAGCTCCACCTCTAATTAGCTGTGAAGCCTTGAGTAAGTTGATTAACCTCCTGTGCTGCACTTTTTTCATCTATAAAATGGGAGTGAAGTATTAGAACTAAAAGGTTTACTATTGAGGTATAATAAATACATCAGATAATAAAGTCTTATTCTCCTTGATCTCAGTTTTAAAAGAGATGAGTTCAACAGTTTCTCTTTCTTTCAAAAAACAACAGGGGTGCCTGAGTGGTGCCCGATTCTTGATTTCGACTCAGGTTGTGATCTCAGGACTGTGGGATTGAGCCCCACGTCAAGCTCTGTGCTGGGTGTGGAGCCGGCTTGGGGTTCTCTCTCCCTCTCTCTCTCTACCCTTCCACCTGCTTGCTCTCTCTCAAAAACAAACAGAAAAAACCCATAATCTATAAATTTATTTTAACCATATGAGAGGTTGTAAATAGGAAATAGTTTACTTATATATAAACTAAATACACTAAAAGTCTTTTCCTAGAGATTTAGAATAGGTAGGAGTGGAGGAAGAGAAAATGGGAAGTTATTTGGGAAAAGGGAAGAATCCAGTCTGAGGGATTTCAACAACCAATAGAGTAAAACCTCAAGGAGAAAATGGCCAACCAGAGATGCTTACCTTTACACCCCTCACAGGTCAGTGCATTATAATGGTATCCAGATGCTCTGTCTCCACAAACAACACATAACTCATCCCCTTTTATTCTCCCTGCTGATGCACCCATTCGGGCCTTTTTTGCTACAGGAATCTCTGCTACCTCGATCTCTCCCTGGTAGAGAGCCTCAGCCGGCATTCGCCTGAGTTCATATATTCCAGGAGAATACCACTCCTCAGGCTGCTGGGGGTAGAAACCCAGGTTGGAATAATAGGATGATGAGGAAATCTGTGGTTGAACTTGCGGAAATGGAACATTGTTGTATTGTGAGTATGGTTCCACTTCTAGATTCTGTCCCAAAGGTCCTGCTGCTTGTTCTGTTAGTACACCTGAACAAGAGTAACAACATTGGAATTAATGTCTAAGAAAAGACCAAAATTTAACTATATAAAAATTGACAACTTTTTTACAGCAAAAAAAAAACACTGCAAAAGGATTTAATGACAAATTACAAGCTCAGAAAAATATCTGCAACATAAAAGACAGATCAAAGACTCATATTGTTAATAGGTAAAAAGCACTTGCAAACCAATAAGAAAAATTCAACAACCCCATGGGGAAAAAAAGGGATAAAGGTTATGAGTGGACAGTTTTTAGAAATACAAACACAAAATGTTTTATAAACATACAAAAATGCACTCACTTACCAACAATTAAATTTAAATTTAAACTGCAATATAAAATACGACCATGTTCATCCTCAAATGAGTAAAGGTTAAAAATGCTCAATAGAACACTCTTAGAACAGCAAACATTCTTAGATGACAATTTTTCAGTATCTTAGCATTTGAAACTCAAATACTCTTTTTTTTTTAATAATTTTTTATTGTTATGTTACTCACCATACATTACATCATTAGTTTTTGATGTAGTGTTCCATGATTCATTGTTTGTGCATACCACCCAGTGCTCCACGCAGAACGTGCCCCCCTCAACACCCATCACCAGGCTAACCCATCCCCCCCCCCCCCTCCCCTCTAGAACCGTCAGTCTGTTTTTCAGAGTCCATCGTCTCTAATGGTTCGTCTCCCCCTCCAACTTACCCCCCTTCATTCTTCCCCTCCTGTTATCTTCTTCTTTTTTTTTTTTCTTAACATATATTGCATTATTTGTTTCAGAAGTACAGATCTGTGGTTCAAGAAACTCAAATACTCTTTTAACCCAGCAATTAGACTGCAAGGAAATTTATTTTAGAGATAGGCATGTATCTGTGTGAAAGGTTTCTGTAAAGATGTCCATGTGCAGGAACATCTATAAAAACTATAAATCAGGAACAATTTAAATATCCAATAGGAGTCTGGTTTAAATAAATTACATTATGTCTATGCACTGAAATACTATGTAGATGTGAAACAATGATTTAGATCTATATGTACTGATAAAGAAAGGTTTCTATGATATGATGCTATTTGAAAATATTAAACTATAGAATAATATATATATTTATGTGGGTATTAAAAGAACAATGTGTGTGTGCACACACATGCACAAGGCAAATTTCTGCATGATACAAAAGAAACTGGATGATGGTGACTGGAAAGTGAGATTGTTGCTTTGTTTTCTGGGGTGGGAGGTTGCACAGTCTTTCCACTGTTTGTAACTTTGCCATGTAGATTAGTATTTTAATCATGGTAAAACAAAGAAGGAGCTTAAAAAAAAAAAAAAAAGGAGTGCAGTGCCTGGAATTGTGAGTGTGGTTCAAATCCCGGTCCTGTTACTTATTTTCTGTGTGCATGTTGGTAATTTATTTAATGTCTTTAAGGAAAATTTCTCTTCATAAACCAGGGAATAATAGGTACCTCATTAGGTTGATGTGAGAATTAAACAAGATAATGCATGCCAAGCACTTTGCTAAATGTTTGGCACACAAGGAGTGCCTGATAAATTATAGTTGCCATTAAAATAGTAATAATAATTATTATTCTACTGCCATTATTACAAAATGAGCCTTTTATCTATAAAACCTCTGGGTATTAGAAAACTATCAGGTTGTGAAAATGCTTCTATTTCCTAGAAACACAATCTACTACTCTAGAAAATAAAAATATTTAAACTATGCAAAACACTAAAAAATTTAATAAACTAAATAAGATAGAGGAGAATATACAAATGTGTCTAACTCTTCAAAGGATGGTCAGGCAACCCTAGACCGAAATTCCAACTCCACCTCCGATGAACAGTGGGACTTCGGGCAAATTACTGAAACTACTGATGAACCCCAGTTTTGAGGGCCGTTTTGATCCTAACTTTTCTTTTCCAGCCATTTCTCCTGTTTTGACTTCTCTAATCCTTGAATGTGCATTGCTGCCTCCAGACTCAGGACCTCCCTTCCCCACCCTGAGCTCCGCTGCTTCCTGAGCCTGGAACCTTCTGCAACATAGCCATTTGCTCACAGGGCTTCATCTCACTATTCTCCACTTATCTATCTCTAAATTTCCTTTTAAGTATAGCTTCTCTTGGGAAGTCTTCCCTGACTCTAGGTCCCTGGCTGTTCTGAGTCTAGTTACCTGGTACTTACCTATCCTCCCCTGGGCTGCCCTTTGGTCATCTCTAAAGAAAAGACTTCGTGTTCAATGACCTTATAGTTCTCCTTTATATCTAAAATCTCCTTAAGTATATGACTAATAGACTACGGGCATGAGAATTCAGGGCTCTTCTATAATGGCAAAGTGGAATATATGCATATCAAAAGTTTGTTGAAAAGAATGCTTTCTGCATTGATCCAGAAAAAGATTGTCGAAGCACAAAGTATACACTATCTGGGCAAAAATTAACTTCCTGTCTTTTATGCCTGACTTCTCCATATAAAACCAGCATTGAGTCAGTATATCTGACAAAGTTTGGCAATGGTGCCTTTGTCTTATTACCACAAAATGGAAGAATATGAAAAGACGATATGATTACAGCGAAAAGAAGAGATAAAATATAATCAAAATCCTGATCTATTTCATAATTAAATATGACTAAAATTTGTTGAGTGAATAGGTTTGAAAAGAACTGAAAAGCATTAAAAGCATTAATTTCACTTACACTTATTGCTGAATTTTATCCTCCAACTGATCTTACCCCATCAATTACCTGTTCCCACCCTCAACCCCAGAATCTTTCTGCCTGCAGATCCAGTAAGGTGAAGCAACTTGCCTGAGGTCAAACAATTAATGATAGAATCTGGATTTTACAAAATCCAGGGAAGTGTGTGATTTTTTTCCTCACGTGACAATTCCGAGATCGCAACGCATTGTTTCAATAAAACTAGTATTCTTGTAATCAACAGACACAATGTAGTCCCAACTGAAGTCAGATCATGGTATCAATATTGTATCGGTCTTTGGAATCATTTCAAGCAAAATGGAAAGCTTTTGCAAAAACATGGATACTATTACAAGAAAACATGGTAAGAATATGAGAACAGCACATAATATTACTAAATAATTCTTCTATCCTCAAAGCACATCCACTTGTAATATTTCAGTGTCCCCACCAAATCTCCACAGCATGCAGGCAACTTATAATAAAAAGCCCAGCATGGTCAACATCACCCAAAATAGTGGGATTAGAACAACTTCCATCGTTAACTGACTGTGAGACTTTGAACGACTGCCTAACACTTTTCTGTTTTAATTTCTTCTGTAAAAGGGGACTATTAACACCCAGGCTTGCTATATGCTATCTGCTATCTCATAAGGTTGTTCTGAGTATAGAGTAAAGTAGTTGAGAAAAGGTTTTGATAAGTTGGATGCCAAAAAACATGTTTGTTTCCTAAAGAGCCTAGCAAAATCCTGATTTTAATAGTTAACTGATAGTTAATTAGTAATTATTAACACTTGGTCTGTTTTGATAACATAAGTTATAGGATACTTCTTTCAATTATAAATATATACTGAACACTTGCTATTTTCCAGACAGTGTGCTAGTCTCTGAGAATACAATAGTGAACAAGACAGAATACAGATACAAAAGGCACCCCCAGTCACTCTCTATACATGCGAGCATGTGTGTTTGTGTGTGTGTGTGTATGTCTAGAGATGTCAAGGGCTGGGACAAAAACAAGCAAACAAATACCAGAACTTTCTGATAGAGCATCAGATGTGGAATGCGAAGAGTAGGTCAACTTTAAAATATGCTTTCTAAAAAGGCAAATTTATTTCTACTTTAATACAATTTAAAGGGAATAATAATATATGAATATATACCTATACGTTTAGATTTATCAGTGCTTTTCCAGAATCAGTCTATCAAAAAGTGGGGGAATTTGTACTCCTTTATGACAGGTAATGCTCCCTGAGAGTTTAGGAAGAACTTTTTTTTTTTTGCGATTTATTTATTTATTTTAGAGAGAGTGCAAGCAGGGGAGGGGCACAGGGAGAGGGAGAGGAAGAGAATCTCAAGCAGACTCCCCACTGAGCACAGAGCCCAACGTGGGGCTCAATCTCAGGACCCTGCTGATATCATGACCTGAGCCAAAATCAAGAATTGGACACTTAACCTATGAGCCCCCCAGGCACTCCTAGGAAGAGCTTTTAAACGGGAACACATGGACAGACAGACACCCGGGGTGTCTGAGACCTCCTGCAAAGGAAAGCAAAATTCTTCTGAGTAGAGAGTCTCTAGCATTCAGTAGTTTCTCTAAAGGGATACCATCTAAGGGAACTTTCTGAGGTGATAGAAATGTTTTGTATCACCAATATGGTAGCCACTAACCATATAAGAATATGGAACACTTGAAATGTGGCTAGTGATATTGAGAAACTGAGTTTTAAGTTTTATTTAATTTTAATAATTAAAATTAAAAATTACATAGCCACATGTGACTAGCGACCAGGAGTTTGTGATCAGAATCCCTGTGTACCCAAATGGGAGAATCAGGTTCATGTTGTAATGAAGGCACTTTGCCATGATCTCACAGTTTGTTCCTGATGAGCCTGGTAAGGGTTCACATTATATCCATTTTTTTTACCCCTGGCGCAATGCTGACCATAGTAAATGTTTCATGATCTTTTGTTAAAATGTTTCATGAATGGGAAAATTGCCTTCTCTGCCTTCCTTTAATCCTAATCCATGGTTTCTTAACTAGATGATACGGCTTCATTTGTAAACTGTTGGCCATTCCTGGCCTTTGCGACGTTGGTGCCTTTCCCTGGCTTGCCGGCTGATCACCTCCTCTGTGAGGCCTGTCCTAGCTCCCCTTGGTTAATCTCGCCTACTCTCTGTCTGCACCATTACTGTAGCACACAGAAGCATATACAATCGTTTGGTTTGTTTATAGGCTTGTCCTCTACGCTAAACTTGAAGTGGTATGACACACTGGTTACAAGGGCCCTGCTGCATAGACAAATCTGGATTCAATTCACCTGCAACTTGCTAGATGAATGAATTTGGCAATGATGTTGAACTTCTTTAAGCTTCTCTTCCTCCCTCTATAATGTGGAATAATACAGTACCTGGGTGAAAGGCTGTAATACAGATAAGCTAAGACAAAGAATGTAAACTGCATCGTGCTGGACACAGAATAAACATTCAAAGCATTTTATTTTATTGTTGTGGTTAGCCTGTGAACTCTTTGGGGAATATATTAGGTTATATTCCCCCCGCCACCACCTTTTTTTTTTTTTCATTCCTGATGCCTTATACAAAGCCTGACACAGTGTGCTTAATAAATATCTGTTAAATGGAAATGATGGAAAAATTCGCTTCTCCTGCCTTCTAACTAATTTCCTAAATACAGTGTCAGTCACTTTTAAACATCATATTTAAATAAAATAGTATGCTGCTAAGTCTATGATCAAAAATATGTTCAAAATTATAATTATTGTAAAAATGATTAGAGTTTCTCTTTTAAGTGAAAATATAAAACATAAGATTCTGTTTTGAAAAAAATATTAAAATAGACAATATTATATTATATAGTCTATGTTTTAATTACAATCTATGTTTTACTTCAGAGAAAACAAATAGCCTAAGCCTAAAGCTGAACTCTTTATTCATCTGATTTTCCATTGATTTGGGAGAAATCTGCTACAATACTAATTTAGTAAATCAGTGTTTCTCAATCTCTTTTTATTTTTCTCACCACAACCCATAGTTTGAAATACATCTTATATCATAATTCCTTTGTACACTTAAACATATGTAGAAGTAATTGAAACAAGATTTCCATGAAATAATACGTATCCTCACTTCTTGAAGTGCATTCTGACATTTCTACTCTATTTCTATTCTATTCTATTCTGTTCTATTCTATTCTATTCTATTCTATTCTATTCTATTCTATTCTATTCGTTTTCAATGGTGGTCATAAGCCACAAATAGACTTCATGACCCACTAGGATCTGAGACATACCATTTTTAAAACACTGCATTAAGTAACGTACTTCAAAGTGGTTTTTCAAGTGTCTACAGGCATTAATGTTAGAACTGCCTAGTGTTTAACTTGAAAAAAATCTTGCTAATTTCACATAATATTTAATGAACAATTTTAGGAAAACATACTTAGATTTTATCTCAATGAGATACTCACCTGCCTCAAATCCTCAAAAATTACCCCGCCCCAACTTCTCACCCCAGTCTTCCAGATCTGACTGAGACATCTTTGACAGAGATCTGTTGCTAAAATCTCAAACAAAAGCCCCCCACTTCCTCAGTCCAGTTGCAAAGGTTCGGCCAAGAGCACCTGTGAATAGTGTCTTACCTTTATCAGGCTTCATGCTCATCATTTCCATGATAAATCCTGATGATGTGTGCCTATGGCGAGGACTACTTTGAATTGGATTTTCTAACCCCTGAAACTGCATTACCATTCTTAGCTTACTCACAGCAACTGAAAATGAGACTAGGTAAGGAGCAATAGAGGCCAGAGGTTGTATGGTTTACTGATTAACTTCATTACAGAGAAGAATATTTGTAAATGTTTATGAGAAAAGTCCTCGATGCCAAGTTGCCTAGTAAGCTGGAAACCAGTCTCTTAGCTAAATATTTTTGGGGAGCACTTTCCAGGTTTAGAACTTAATATGTAGAGTAGGTTTCTGTTCAGTGGCTCGAAAAGTGGATTTGGGGTCAAGTGCCATGCTCTGTGTCTTGACATTTGTTCCTCTCCATATAATTTTGTTATGTCAGGAAGCATTAAAGCATAATGCTTAACAGTATAAGGCCATCTGGGTTTATATCCAATGTTAGTGGAATTGTGTCCCCTCCCTCCAAACTGGTATGTTGAACTTCTAACCCACCACAGCATGTGACATTATTTGGAGAGAGGCTTTTTTATAGAGGTAATCAAGTTAAAACGAGGTCATGAGGGTGGTCTCTAATCCCGTATAACTGGTGTCGTTATACAAATGGGAAATGTATACACTGAGACAGATAGACATAAAGAGAAGACTGTATAAAGAGATACAAGGAAAAGACAGTCATCTACAAGCCAAGGAGAGGTTCAGGAATAGACACTCCCCCCACAGGCTTCAGAAGGAATCAACAGCTAACCTCTTGATTTTGGACTTCTAGCCTGAAGAACAGTGAAACAATCCATTTCTGTTCTTTAAGCCACCCAGTATGATCCTTCATTACAGTCTCCTCAGCAAACTAATACAACGAGACTCCCTTGGTACTCACTAGCTCTGTTGACATGGACAAATTCCTGAACCATTTTCTTTCACCATTTCCTCACCTGTAAAATGGGGCTGATAACCATACAACCTCATAGAGTTACTATGAGCATTAAATAAGATAATGTTTATAAAATGCTTAGCACAGTGGGCGGTTACACACCATCCTTACATTGATGTTATGATTATTTGGCTTTGGACTCAGGTTGTAGGGTGGCTTGCTTACTGAGTAGGAATAATTTCTGCAGCATAACCTGTGGATATCAGGCCTATGATTGTTGGTTATTTTTTGGAAGAGAGGACTTTAGAATAGGATTCAGTAGGGCCAGGGTTAAGCTTACACTTAATGCAACCAGACGTCCTGTATAACCTTAGGTCAGTCTCTCAGCTTCTGTGGGCCTCATTTGTCTACATCAACAGATGGTAAAACATAGATAATAATTCCTGCCCTACTTCCCTCATAGATGTGTTGTGAAGATAAAAACACAATAAATAAGCAGTTTGAAAGGCAAAAGTGATCTATATAAATGCAATCATCATTGCCAAGACGTTTCTATAGCCTTCACACATTTACAAGTGGTTCCATGTGCATTACATCATTTGATCCTAGTTGCATCCTCTGAGGAAGATATTTTTTATGATGCCCTATCTTCTACCGTATTTTACAGACTCTACAAGGCAAATCAGGATGCTAAGTGATTTGTCTAAAGTCATGCAATTAGTGAGGCATTAAGTTAGGACTTTAACCCAGGTCTTCTGACTCAAACCCCGTGGTTGAAACACTTAGGCACACTTGCCCTCATTGCCACGAAAGAGGAAAAGAGTGATGGTCCATGGTTATGTCTCAGTTTGGATTGCCAAATTAAGACTTATGGTTTGCAAAGCTATTCTCAATCCTCAGTCTACTTCTGACCTCATTCTCTTCTCCTCACAACCCCAGAGCTATCATTGCCTTGGGAGGACCATGGGTGGGGGAGCTACCCAGAAGATGTAAACCAGGGCAAACTATCTCTGAATCTTCTATCTTATTTTTTTTAAGATTTTACTTATTTATTTGACAGAGAGAGAG